CTGAAGTCCCTGCCAAATGGCCCTTGTGCTCGGCTGAACATGACCCTGATCTGAACATGAACCTTTCAGTTCTCAGGCCACACTGACAAATGGCTCATAAGTTGGAGCGGATCAGTGCTTTCGCCAGAGGAGAGAAGTTCCCAGACAGTGGTCACTCTGTCCAGGAGTCCCAGCACTGAGTTGCTGGGGCATTGCCCACTAGGTCCCAATGCTGGCTCTCAGGGGCCCAGGCCAATGTTCTGCTGGGTCACCATCTGCAAAGGAGGGCAGGCAAATCTTCTAGCATTCAAGGAGACCTTTTTGGTGGGCATATAGCTCATGAAGCAGGATGGGGCAGGGTTCAGGTGGGGTCAGAGGTGGGCTCAGGAACTCAGAGACTTTCCCATGAGGAGTGGGCTCAAAGGCTCTGGCGGTCTGGGAAGACCAAGCCACACAGGAAGTGGTCATGTCCTATGGCAATGCTCAGGGCCCTCATGGCCAGGATCTGGGGCAGACGCGAGCCTGGAACTGAGCCTGGGGGGAGGTAAGCAGGTGCTGAGGCATTTGGTGAGATTTAAAGCTTAAAGCATGTCTGTCAACTGACCCTTAACCCTGGCTTCAGTTTGACCTCTGATCTCTGACCTAGGCAGGAAGTAACAAGGACCCTAGGGCCAAGGGCACCCATTGGCCAACCCCAAAATAGTGATGTCTATAATGTGTGACAGATTTAAAAATCACTTTTAACATGGTACTAAAAAACCTATTGGTCCCCTTTGGAAAGATTGCTAGGAAATTGACTCTTCTTTTTTTTTTTTTTTTTTTTTTGCGGTACGCGGGCCTCTCACTGTTGTGGCGTCTCCCGTTGCAGAGCAACAGGCTCTGGACGCGCAGGCTCAGCGGCCATGGCTCACGGGCATAGCCGCTCCGTGGCATGTGGGATCCTCCCGGACTGGGGCACGAACCCGTGTCCCCTGCATCGGCAGGCGGACTCTCAACCACTGCGCCACCAGGGAAGCCCAACTCTTCTTTTGATAAAGGAGAGCATCGAGCAGCTCTCCTGATTTTGCTGTATGTACTCTATTTCAAGTGACCAAACAGCTAGTGGTGAATTCTTTTTAGAATTTTAGTCTACAAATGCAGAAGGAATGACAGAATTTGGATATCACCACTTTCAGTCCCAGTGATATAATGGGTCCAGGCCATGGTCAATGGCTGCTAAAACTAGCAGGTGAAAAGCTGATGGGACATTTTATAATGAATGAATCAGGCTGACTGCATCTGAACCCCTGATCAATCTTAACATCACAAAAGAAAAGAAATCTTGTCCCAAACACTGAACTTGAATCTGATCAAGCCAGTTTACAGGAAGTACAGGGAACAAGGGGACACATTAAGTGGCACTAATAGGGATGCAAACTCCAAATTGTGGGTAACTCCTTTGGGACAAACAATCTGGTTTCTTCACCAAACAAGCTGAAAGGGAAAAGGTGGGGGTAGGGGAATCTTATTAATCAAAGAAACTGAGGAGACAAATCAAGTGCATGCAATGTATGTACTTTTTTTTGGACCCTGATTCAAACAAATAAACTAAAATTTTATGAGGCAATCAGCAACATTTGAACACTAAGATATTTGGTACTATTAAACAACTATTTTTTGTGTTATAATGGATTGTGGTTATTTTTTAAAAGTTCTTCTAGAAATATACATTGAAGAATTTACAGATGAACTGATATGGTGTCTGGGATTTTCTTCAAAATAATAAGCAGTGGTGGAAAGTGGGCGGGGTTTGAAATGAACGAAGATCAGCCTTGGGTTGATATTGTTGAAGCTGGGGCCATCACACCGTTCTGTCTACTTATGTGTTTGAAACTATCCATGATTTTTAAAAATGGAAAATAAAACCCCTAGCTCACTGCTTGTTCATAATAATCACTCAATAAATATTAGCTGTTATGTTTAAAAACTTTTTTAGGTCACATAAATGGGGATCACCCCCAATGCATTGCGAGTAAGGGAGGTCTCTGCTTACACAGAGGCTGTTATACTAAGTGAAATAAGCCAGTCACAGAAGGACTGCATGACTCCACTTCCATGAATGTAGCTAAAATAGTCAAATTCAAAGAAAGAGTGGAATGGTGGGTGCCAGGGGCTGAGGGGAGGGGGAAATGGGAAGTTGCTAATCAATAGGCATAAAGTTTTAGTTAAGCAAGATGAATAAATTCTACAGATCTGCTGTACAACCTTGTGCCTAGAGTTAACAATACTGCATGCTTAAAAATTTGTTAAAAGGGTAGATCTCATGTTATGTTCTTACCACAGGGATAATAATAATAATAATAGTAAAGATAGAGGGCTGTGCTTTGTCAACCAGATCCTCGGCACGGAAGGATGTGAAAAGGCCATGGGTTCTGCCACTTCTTCCTCCTATACACACACTGACCAAGCATCTACTATGTGCCAGGTGCCACAAAGGCACAGATAGGAGATGTAATGCCAGCCTCTTCTTCAGGCTTTTGGGCCAGGGAACAGTAATGCCATTCCTGAGAACTTGCTGCAGCGCACCCCCTGCCTCTCTCCTTGAGTCTGTGGACCCTGCACCACCTCAGGGAGCCTGTGGAGATGGGTCCTTCGGTACTTGGCCAGCACTCTGAGACGCAAACGCTGAATCTGCCCTCCACACCTGGCTGCCAAAGTGTGCTTTCCAGCCTAGACACCATTTCCTCAGATGGCTCACAACCTCCTCCTGCCTCCTCCCGCCTTCTCTCCCTCTCTCTCTCTCATTAAGGCATAAGATACTGACAGTCAAGTTTATAAAGTGTGTACATTTTAAGAGTATAGACTGATGACTTTACATATATATTCACCAACGTAGTCACTGCCTAGATCGAGTCACAGACAGGGAAACGGAGGTGTGGGGGATGACCCCTAGTCCCTCTCTGAGACCCTCAGGATTTTAGGTGCCCTGTGCTTGTGTGCCATTCTTTCCTGCCCAGCAACTTGAGCCCCAATGGCCCCACAGGTCAGCATACCTTGTCTATATCTCCCTCTGCTGCAGCTCTGGCTTGACTAAAACATTTCAGGTGATAGATGGCTGTTCATGGCCCCCTGTGCGTGTACCACTGGGACCCTGGGCCCACTTCCTAAAGCTTTTGATATCCTCCGGGCTATTTGGGCTGCTCACTGGCCATATCACTGCTGTGGCTGGGGCTCCTGCTTCCACTTGGCTTTGTGTGTGGAGATGTGGGTGAAGGGCACCCTGGGTCTGCTCAACAACCCCAGGTTGTGGCCCTACTGGGCACCTTCATTTCCATGGCCTGTGGCCCTGGCTGGCACACAGTGCTTTTTCTCAATACTCCCACGTTTGCTGTTCCTCACACCTGGTGTGGGAACCAGGGCCTGCAAGGAGGGCGGTACCACCTTCTCCTGGCTGCCCCCTTCTCTGCCTCCTTCTGGGTTCTTTCAAAGTGGGTACTCCCCAAGGCTCCTTCCCCAGCCCATCTCTTCTCTTTGCCCATCCATCCTCTTTCTGGGAGACTGTACCCCACACTCCTGCTTCTGCAACCATATCCATCCTTGGTCCCCTTATCTAAGTTCCCAACATCCTCTTCCCCCAAGCACATACTGGCACCTCCTACCAAAATATGCCAGCCCCTTGGATTCCATATTCAACCCCAAAAGTTGCTGCTCAGAATGTTCCCTGTTCCTCCAAAGATGCCTCCCTCCTCCCAGGCCTGGCCCCAGAGCTCCTGGGGGGGGGGGGTTGCTCCTGGCCCCCCTTCTTCCTGCACAACCCTCAGGCCACTCCTGCTTGTACCACAGGCTCTGTCCTCCTGTTCTCTCTGCTGTCCTGCCCTCCAAGCCACGTCATGGCAGATCAGAATATTCTCTTTCCCTGCTTGGCCTCTGTCCTGCTTGCTCATTATTACCAGATTCCACTAAATTCAGCTCCATTGTGGCCCTGGGCTTTGTTCTAGACTTGGTGAGATGCCATGGGAGGCTGGGCACAGTGCAGACCGGCAGGAAGGGAGAGGCAAGATAGCCCCAGGGTTCCCACGCGAGGTGTGAGGAGCAGCAGAGATGAGGGGTTGAGGAAGAGCAGTGTCTGCCAGCAAGGGCAGAGGCCATGGAGATTTAGGGATGCTTTTTGGAAGAGGGAGACGTGATCTCGACCTCAAAAAACAGTAGCCTTTTGCAGTGTAGATTATAACAGCGAAAAATTAGAAAAACCGAACACTCAGCAGGAGACTGCATCAACACACCATGGCATACTTTCAAACAGAATACTATACTGTTGCTAAAATAACCAGAACGGATAAATCTCAACAACAAAACATTGGGTGAAAAGGGCAAACGGAAGATGGATGTGCACAGCTGGTGCAATTTATATAAGTCCAAAGGACACACAAAACAATGCTATTTATTATTATAGATTCAGGTGTTTGTAGTAAGGGTATAAACATGTGTGTGGGAGTGATAAACACCAGATTTACCTCTGCAGAGAGAGGGAGAAAATGAGGAAGGGACAGGAGGAGGGAACTTAGTTGTGGCTGTTCTGTTTATCTGAAAAGAGAGAGAGGAAGTGATCTGAGGCAAATATGGCGAAATGTTATCATCTGTTCAATGTGGGTGATTACAGGTACATGGGAGGTCCTGGCTTGGGCTGGCTGGTTGCACCTGTGGGTGAAGTGACTCAGGGCAAAAGCAACCCCATAGATGCCGTTCCCTTTCTTCTCCCTGTGCTGACCGAGCCCCAAGGCTTCCAGGAGGGGCCTCAAGGCATGGGAGGAAGGTCCTGAGAACAGCTGCCCACCTCCCAGGACTACAGGAAAGCCTGTGAAAGAAATAACAAAGTTCTCCAGAAGTGCTAGGACTCCGTAAATTTAAGAAACTACGATGAACAATATTAACTTTCCATTTGATAAGATGCCCTTTCCCTTTCTTTCTCACCCCCACACAGACCCCCCCCCCCCCACCAAGAGGAGATTTCAGAAATGAGAGCCCACAGCATTCACAGATACCAGCTGGGGAGGGCCTCCCAGGGGGGCCCAGCTTCCAAACAGAGAAAGCAGGTGGCTTCCGGTGTCTGCTGATGTTCACGTAGACTGGCCAGGGATTGCTGCCCATGAATGAATGTAGGCCCTGGTGGTGGAGGGAGGGAGATATGTAGACAAGCACATACACTGCTTGCCACATACTATGGGAGCAGATGCCCGCACAGATTTCCACTGACCTTTTGTATTTAGAGGGGTGGGGAGTGTAAAACAAGCCCAGGGCTTGTAATGGCAGTGAAGAAGGGGGAAGGCCAGAAAAGTTAGAAGCTCATAAAACAAATCCTGCAAGCATGAAGAACCTATTTGTGTCCCACAAAGCAGCATGCGCACGTGTCTAAGAGACCAGGCAGTAAACCTTCCATGTTCAGGTGGAGAGTCACCCTCCACTGGGAAGGGCCATACAAGTCTGGGTGCCAGGAAGGGACGGTCACAGGCTCAGGGAGGAAGAGAAGGGGCTGGTGGGAGAGGGATCACTCACCCAGTGGCAGAACGAAGAAAAAGGGGAACCAGCACAGCACGAAGACGCCCACGACGATGGCCAGCGTCTTGGCCGCCTTCTTCTCACGGGAAAACTTGAGCAGACGCACTGACAGTGAGCTGCGGAAGGTGTGGCCCTTGGCGCTGCGCATCCCACCGTGGGCTCCGTCTGAGCCAGTGCTTGCGCCGCGACAGTGGATGCGCAGCACCACCTCTGAGGCCTTGCCCCGCTCGCGCTTGACTCCCGCCTCCAGGCTGCGCGTGGTGCTTCGCGCTACCACATACACGCGGCAGTACATGACCACAATGACGGCCATAGGCAGGTAGAAAGAGCACAGGGAGGAGAAAACAGCGTATCCTGCCTCCTCCGTGATGCCGCAGAAGCGCTCGTCAGGGGGCACCGGCTCCTTCCAGCCCAGCAGCGGCCCCACAGACACCACGAGGGCTACGGCCCAGAGCAGCGCCAGGATGGCGGCCGCCTTGCGCTCGGTCATGATTGCTGGGTACTTGAGCGAGTGGCGCACGCCCACGTACCGGTCCACCGAGATTGTGCAGAGGCTGAGGATGGAGGCCGTGCAGCACAGCACATCCACGGCGGCCCACACGTCGCAGAAGGCCCGGCCGAAGGCCCAGAAGCCCAGAACCTCCATGGTGGCCGAGAAGGGGAGCACTGTGGTGCTCAGCAGCAGGTCGGCCACGGCCAGGTTCACAATGAAATAGTTTGTGACCGTCTGCAGGTGGCGGTTGCAGGCCACGGAGAGGATGACCATCAGGTTGCCCGCCACGGCCGTGAGGATGAAGGCAGCCAGGAAGACGCCCACGCCCACGCCCTGCGCACTCACCACCAGCCCCCCGACGGCGGCCGTGCCGTTCACCTCGCCGCCGGCGCCAGTGCTCCCCGGCTCCCCAGCGGAGCTCCGGTTGTCCTCGCCGTTGCCCGCGCCCACCACGCCGCCGCCGCTGCTACCGCCTGCGGTCACCCGCACGCCGTCCACCGCCCGGCCCTCGGAGGCGGCCGCGCCGCCCGCGCCACCCCCGCCACCGCCCGCGCTGGAGCTCCCGGCGCTGCTGTCTGAGCAGGGTCCCTCGAAACTGACGTTCAGGAGATAGCGGAAAGTCATCTCAACGCGCAGCCGTCGGGGGCCGCGGCTGGGCGCAGGACGAGCGACTGGTAGGGCTGGGGGCTCCGGCTCCAGACCCGCGCGCTGGTCCTGTCGGGGTCCTGCCTCAGTTCCTGTGACGTGGAGCACTGCTGCCCGCGAGCGGAGCGGGCGGCTGCGGAGTGGGACCGAAGAGCCCGAGCTGGCGACGCGCGCCTCTCTCGCAGCGTGCCCAGGCGAGCGGGCAAAGCGGCGGCTCGGGGCCGGGCGGTGCGGGCGGCGACCACTGAGGAGCTAGCTACTGGGCGCGGGGCCGGGACGGAGCGGAGGAAGGGCAGCGCCGGGGATGAAGAGGGGACGCTGGCACCGAGGGACCCAGCGCCACAGTTGCCGGAAGAAGGGAATCTGCGCTCTGGGCGAGCTGGCGTTCCGGGGTCCCAAAGGGCGGTGGCGCTGGCTCGCGCTCCGACCCCGCGGAAGCCACCCCCGCCGCGCCGCTGGTGCTCACGCCCGCCCTCTCCCCTCGCGGTCCGCTCCCTTCCACCTCCCGCGCCCCTACCCCGCCTCCTCTCTCTTACCACTCAGTTAAGTCTCCCTCCCGCCCTTTCCCCAGCGTCTCGGTCACTGCTGGTGCCCTTGGGCGCGCCGAGTGTAGAAGGTGCGATTCCCGGGTCCCCGGACTCCCGGCTCCGGCCGCCAGAGAGCAGCAAGCGCCTGGGATCTGCAGCCTGCTGACGGGACCACGCCATGCCGCGGATGGAGCTGCTGCACCTCCTTCCTTCTGTCAGGGGACTGGACAAAGGAGGGTCTCAAACACCTCTGTCCAGTGCCGTGGCGTGGAGAGCTCCAGAGGGTGTCGGAAGCTTTGCGGGCCTATGATGGGCGAAGGAACAAGAGACTACTTATATGGTTACAGCCTTCAGACCCTGCCCAGGACACACTGGTCTGCATACACCAACTTCTGCACTGTTACTTTACTCCATATCGGATGTCGAAATAAAACTTCCCATTGCTACACTAAATAAGTGGCCTCGTTCTAGGGAGGGAGGGTTTAAGTACTGGACGGTGGGAAAGGCCACTTGGCGGGATGGTTAAAGGAGGTGGGGCAGACAGTCTGGCTCCAAATCTAGGCTCCGCCCTATGTTAGCTGTTTGACCTCTTTGTGTCTTAGTTTCTCATCTGTAAAATGAAGATAAGAGTAGTGTCTACCTACCAGCGTGAAGACTGAATGAATTAATATCTGTTAGGGCCCCAGAGCAGTGCCTATATTTGTTAGCTGAGTGGAACTATGCAGGGCAGGATTTGAACAGGTAGGACAGAGGACAGAGGGAATGTGGAGCTGGTATGAACTCGGGCCACAGGTGGAGGGGTGGGTTTAAGGAGCCTCTTGTTGACTAACAAGACTGGGTAGGGAGAAACAAAAAGAGACCATTCCTTTGGCCAACATAAAAATACTAACCAGGCTGCTGTATTGTGTCAAGCTATGTTGGACACTCTGGGTGGCCAGGGGAGGGGGGAATTGCAGGGAGAATAATGCCACCAAGTAAGTGCAGGATGAGGAAGTCTTGAGCCATGCCAGGGAGATGAGGACCTGTTTACAGAGGTATCTGGGAGGAGGCAAAGAACTCATGGCCTCAGTGCCCACTAGCTGTGAATGACATCTCAGGATGTATGAGAGTCCTAGATGAGAAAGTGCTTTGGAGAAAAGAAGAAAAATGGGAGAAATGGGAGAGATGGGTAACCCCCCCTCCCCATCCCCTCCCCAGCCTAGGAAGCCAAAGCTGTTAGAGTCATAGCTTAGAAACAGCTCTTCCAAGGCCCTCAGCTTCCCATTCCATCTTCCATCTTTTACTTGGGTCTTTGGGGGCTTACTGTGGAGAGTTGAAAGCAAGGTGCCTTATGAGGATTATTTGGCAGCTGATCAAAAGCAGAACTGTGGGTTTGGGCTTCCTCTCTGAAGGAGAGGGGCAGAGGGCTCCGGAAGGAGAGGCCAGGAGCTTCTCACATGGGAGTGTCAGATGGCAGCCTCTGTGTCTGTGACTGGCTGCCATCTCACAGTGTAAGACAGGGATAACCCTCGTGGAGTACATCTGATTCTGGGCTGGGTCAGTTTTCAAGGATGACTGGGAATAGGAGACAAAGTTAAATCTAAGCTGAGCCTGGGGTGGTAGGGGGCTACCTGACAGGTGTCACATAGAGATCTGTGCCTGATCCTGGTCTAGAGAACCAGCATAAGGCTGCCTGGAGGTATACTTGCCAGCAGGGTGAGGAGAAATTGTGGGATAGTGTGCCTGGAAGGAGATGGGGCAGCTCTACCACGTCTCAGATCTTGGTCTACAAGAGGGCTTTGGAGGTTCTAGAGCTCTAGGGGAAGAAACAGGGAAAGGCAGGAGGTGTGAAATTGTGAGCTTTCTCTACCAGTTTATTATGCTCAAATCTGGGAAGGGATCAAATTGCTGGACCTGTGAGCCCTGGAGACCTGGCTGGCCCTTGGGTTCTTTGTGATCCAACAGCATGGCTTCTAGTTTAAGAAGGAAAACTAAGCATCTCCTTTATGAGATCCCTTTAGAGTGAGAGTAAAGAAAAAGGAAAGGTTTATCCCACAACTGAGAAGTTAACTCCTAGGCTGGTAAACTGGGACTTTAGCCCTTAAAGAGGAGGTTTAAAGGAACCCTACAAGAGATCATGAGAGGTATGAGGAGATTTGGACTCTCATGGAAATGGTGCAGGGTGGTTGTTTCTTTCAGTCAGGGTGTTGAATGGGAGAGAAGGCAGGCATTCCTGACAGATATCCTGTTTGTGGGGGCCAGCCAGTCAACCTACAGTTCCTTCCTACCCCACCAAGCCTGGACAACTTTTATTCATTCATTCAACACAAATTAACTAAGCACTAGCTATATGCTAAGAACTTTTCCTGGCACTGGGGATATGATGTTGTATAAAGTAAAATCCCTGCCATCCTGGGGCTTACATTCAAATTGTAGAAAGTGCTACCCAGAAGAGTTAAGAGGAGATCTTTCCTATGGACAAAAAGTTTTCTTTGGGTTTGGTATCTGGGTCCTGGAGACTCTTTTCAATTAAATTCTCAAAGAAAATCCAAATGCAAAGGAACTGTTTTCCAATTCTTCCCTGCCTCAGAATAGCAGTGGAGGCTGAAAGGGTGTAAATTCATGTATGTCAACTAGAAAACTTGGCTAATGCTGCCACTTCCTGGGATCAGTTCCTATGAAGAACATAGACATCCTTTCTATTCTTCAGCTGCAAGTGGATCTCTACCTCTGGCCTGACCTTTAAGCTTACAATGGCTCTGGCTACAAGCTGACCCACAACCTGACTGACCCCAAACTTAAGCCTTCCAATTCCCCTAATAGTGCCATTCATCCTAGATGCCTACTATGGTCAACAGGGGTACTGGGTAAAGGGGTGAGGGCTCAGTGCTACTCTCTTCCACCATAAGGACAGTACAGTTTGTTGCTGGCTACCTCTCAGTGGTTGTGGGTTACGGAGTATGTGGGGAAAAGATATTGTTGAGTATGTGGGGAAAAGATATTATTGAAAAGATAAGCAGAAAGGAGATATGTACTTGGTAGTTCATCTTTGCAGCCTCATTCCTATGTCAACAGAAGCTACAGGGAACGAGAAGCCCGTTATTTGATTATTTATGCTAATACTTGCCTAAATTAATGGAGTTGGAAGTTAGTGACTATATTTCCCATGATAGTAGAAATGGTAGAGGATGGGGATGGGCACCAGTGGAATGATATTCCTTGTTGAAGCCTGGCAAGCAGCCTACTGCTCTGGGGACCCTTGGTGTGGCTGTTTGCTTTGCAGCTGTGTTTTCTTCTGCCCCGAAGAGATATTCTTTTGTTTCTTTTTATTTTCTTCAGGAGAGTAAATAAGCTGGGAAGCAGGATATTGGACAAAGCCACAATGTGTGATGCCACTATTTTCTAGAGCCCTGGAATTCTCCAGGGCCCTGGAGACCTCTTCTAGATTGTCTACATCCACCTGCCCAAAGAAAAAAGGGATTCCTTTTGTGGAGAATTATGTAGACATTTTAGGAGTCAAGCACAGCGCTCGTGTCTAAGCTCATGCCCCCACTTAGATGCAAGGGAGAAATGTGGGTCAGCCAAGTGCTCAAGAATAGGGAATAGACTTGATGACCATTCAGCCTGCAGGACATTATGCTGTAGGAAAGCAAGAGTCCCAGGAAGACTCCATTGGAGCATTAATGAGGCAATTCCCAATGGGTGGATTGTGAAAAGAGCAGGTAGGTTGGCTGATCTGAACCCCTGGCTAATATTCTACCCAGGCCGCTGACACTCTTCATGTGGCTATTCCTTCTAGACCAAGCCCAATGTACACATTTCCAGTATGGCTTACTAAAAAAACATTAGAGTTGAGAATGCCATTTGGAAATGTGCTGGTGACAATGATAATTCCAATTCACTCAGCTCTGGGAATGCAAAGGGAGAATTAAGGTGGGCAGTGGGAACTCAGCTAGCATTGCTTTAACCTCCCTGGAGAATAAGCAACCCCTCTCTAGTAGAGTCCACCCAGTGGCAAGGGGAATCTCTTCCCTTCCTTTATTACAGCCCCAAATCCCACCCTTACAATCTAGGTCTTCTAACTCCAAGAACCAGTGTTTCTCATTACTTTACAAATTCTTTGTACCTCCTAGTAGAGGTGACATATAAGGTTACCATCTCCTCCAGCCCCTGAGATCTGATTACCCATTGTGCGATGTGGAACTGTGAGGAGTGCGGAACAAGTTCCATAGGGATATTCTGTGGTAATGAAAAGAAATATGAGAAAATTCTAGGTGTAAACTTGGCTAACCTGACCCCCAAATGGAGCAGCAAATGCTAATGAGGGAGATTTCCTAAAACAGAATCAAAATAGGCCAGTCAGCTCTGAGGAAGTGACATGTAATCAACTTGAGAGGGTTGCATGACTCCAATCCCAATTAGGGAGGCTGAGGCAACTCCTGCTAGGATATCAAGCTTCCAGCTCACAAATAAGATGGCACAGAGCCATTTTCTATTTCCTTTTTCCTGGGGCAAGATTCAGTCTCTGGAGAAGACTG